ATGCGTGGCAGAGGCAGCTGGGTGCAGAGAGTCTATGAAGTCCAAGATGGTAATAACACAGAAACATGATTGTGATGTTTGTCTGTTCTTTAATGTCTAACTACATTTTTTAAATAATAAGTACAATTCAAATAGATAGAAATACATATTAATGTTAAAAATGTTAATTAGATTTTTCACATTTTGTTAAATCATATCAGTAAAGATGAAGGAAGGTTTGCATTCAGCAGCTTTTTGTTTTATAACCAAAGCGATTAAAAGGCTGTGTGAACGTAATTTCTTTTCTTTTTGACAAATATGTCCATATATGCACTAAAACGTAATTTAGAGTTGTTGATACCCTCGACACAGAAACATGGCTTGGTCATGAAGTCACAAAAGGGAGAGCAGCCAAACTAGGTCATGTATGACAAAATAAATTTGGATCCCTACAGTTGTTTGGACACATACTGTAAGACGTTGAAAATATTTATTTAAATAAAAACGACAGCCTTATACGGCCGCATTATTATTGTGATATCACAGATCAGGATAAAACAGTCCATTTCTGACTGTGTTGTACTAGATTGGGCTGGCATATTAGTGCCATGGCACAAATTGATGCACAAGAATCAACTGCTATCAGCAAAATCTATTAAATTTAGATAGGAGAAAGTCAGCAGACATTAGAATAGATGACTTGTAGTTCACACTTTGTCTAGCTTTATGCTGACCACTGCCAGCAAAACTGAAGAAAAAGCACCAGCTGTCAGTCTCACGCAGTCCTGGTTTAGATGTCTCATGTGAAACTCAATTATATCGTCTGGAACGCCCTCATGTCTGCACTTACAGCCTTGTTTTTTGTTACAGATACAGCAGTGGGTCCTGCACAGTGAAGGCAGGAAAGTCTTTCGTGTTTCCTGTAGAAACATGATAATTCAAAATGGTGAAATCATGAAATTAAGGTCAGACTAGGAAAAACTGACCAACTCACAGTACAGACATAGCAAAGACTACACATCTGTGCACATCTCTGCACTGTACAATGTGGTCGGACAGAGTTTTAAGAGCAGTGGTAACAATGACTCCTTTCCTCTGGTGTTTGTTTCCCCTAAAAGTCTCCTACAAAGTAAAATACAAAAGTTAATGATTATTTCTAAGAAATAGGTATGAATTTAGTTTTTTGTTTTAACCTACAAGTCACCCTTTTAGAAAGGAATTGAACACGGAAGTGTACATAAAAGCAATATAATTTATATAAAAAGCTTGATCAAAAGCAATCATCATCCCAAAAGGGATCATTACATTTGTCTAGTTTTAGACCAACTCTAAATATATTCATCAGTTTTTCAAACATTGTTGGAATGAAATGCGAATTGAGCTAATCGGTGTTTGCTTGGGCAGCAATGAATTATGCATATATTGTTGGAACAGGAGATCCGTTTGTTTTAGTGCTCACCAAAATGATCATGGTGTTCTGCTGTTGTAACAGGCTCCATCGGCGAGGTAACAGTCACAGGCCTGAAGCCGGACACGAGCTACGAAGTGAAGTTGTCAGCCGTCAACGGCAAGGGTGAAGGTGAAAGCTGCAACGCTGCGTTCTTGAAGACGGAGCCTGTTCGTAAGTGGCACATGTTACAGTTTACAGCATGCTGTAATGCTTTTAGTATACCTCTCTGACCTCTTGTCTTCACAAACATATTGCCTTCAGTCTCTCTATAAAAACTCGCTGAAGAGTCCGTCCTAAGACTGTTTGGATGATGCCACAAAAGCTTTCACCTGTCTCCTTTCATTCCATGTATGTCTTTTAAAAAACAGCTTTTCCGTCTCTATGAAGCAGCTCTCTGACCTTCTTGCTTTTATTTGATTTTTCTAGTTTATGAAATACTTCTGCCATAACCAAATCTTTAAAGCCAGATTGCTTGTTTTTACATATGGAATTAAATACTGATTTCATCACATAGGTATCATTTCGAGCCATCTGCACAGTTGCTTCAGATATCCTGTTTTAAAGCCATGTTTCAAGCCCATCGTGTCATTATATTGACTTGCAAACCCTGAAGTGTGATTTCATCCTTCTGCAGAAGCCAGCATGCAGTGAAACCGCAACACATTAGTTAGTTTTTAGCGCCCTCTGTTGTTTGGCAATAGATGTTTTTTGAGGGAGTGCCGGTATGATTTATATATTGTCTGTGTACTGATCATCTCTCCTTCTATTTTATCATTCTTAATCATTGATTTTTTTTTTTTTATCCATTTGCTCTTCTGTCTGTTGTATTCATCAGGCCACACTTACAACAGTAAGTGATTCATTTAAAATGCATTCATTAAAAACATTTAAAAGATAGCTTTATAGTTGTGTATATATATTGCTATTGAATTGTGTTGTTATTGAATGGCAAAGGCAAAAGTTGGACTTAAATCCCTTCTCTCTCTTTTTTAGAACTAAGATCATAATTAAAGGCCAGATCATTCACATTTTGTCATAGTAATTGATAAAACTGAACAAATGTTCTATAAGTTTGCTGAAATATCAAATGCGATAGAGGTTTGCTGAAATATTTACATAAAACACTGTCAGAAGAACATCACTTCAAGCTGCCTTTTTAGACCGTAAAGTGGCCTTTCATTTTCATGGAGGCTGGCTCTGTCTCCCTACTTTAAATGTGGCAATCATTTCCTAAAATGATTTGTTTTTCTTCCTTTCTGGAGCCATCTGACAGAAATGTGTCTTCCTGATTTCTTCAGTGAAGTGTTATTAGAGATTCAGGTGGTCATTTGTGCAGACAAGTGATTCTGATTGCCTTTCTTCTCTTTTATGTCCCTAGACGGCATTTTTCATTTTTTCACTGAAGACACAGGTTTGTTCTGTAGTGGGGATAATAGAAGATTAGTTTTTACTGCTGTAGCTGTTTCTTACCCAACAGGATAACCCATCACCCCTACTGATTAGCAGTGTTTGTTATCCCGCTTAAGTATTTCAAAAGGTGTATCGTTTTC